CACACAGGCCTCATCGAGTACATCACCAGCGGCCCCGTCGTGGCCATCGCCCTGGAGGGCAAGTGCGTGGTGGAGCAGGCGCGCAAGATCATCGGCGCCACCAACCCCCTGGCGGCCGATCCTGGCTCCATCCGCGGCCAGTTCTGCATCGACATCGGGCGCAACATCATCCACGGCTCCGACACCGTGGAGAACGCGCAGAAGGAGCTGGCGCTCTGGTTCCCCGAGGGCCTGGTGGACAACACCCCCGTCCTCTACTCCCAGATCTACGAGTGAGTGTTGCGTATGTGTGGCAGGTCCTCCCCGTGCCATTTGTGCCCGTCTGGACTCTGGACTGTGTAAGGAGCACGCCCTGTCGTCGCCGGTGAGCTCGTGAGCGGTGCCAGGGGGGAGGTGCTAGGATGAATGTAATCTTCTACCTGGGGATTGTGTGTCAAAGCCCACAACAAGGACGCATGCTGCGGGTCAGCCAGTGCTGGAAGGGCACACCCTGGACTCTGTGATGGAGGTGCAGTCCAGCCGCCCAGCAGCCTTCTCCACAAAAGAAATGAGCAAACCTCACGCCCTGCGCGCGTCAAAGTCCGCCACCAGGCAGACGTGGTCGCTGGGCCAGTGCGCATTGGGCAGGCCCGAGCGCAGCGACTGCGCCACGGGCGGCAGCAGCACGCCGCGCGGCTCCAGGCTGGGGGCCCCATTCGGCTCCAGGCTGTAGAAGATGTAGTCCACGGTGCCCATGTAGCCGTCGTGGCAGGTGGTCCACACCGGCTCCTCCCCCGTCACGGCCTGGTACGCGGAGCGCAGGGTCAGCGGGTGTGTCAGCAGCATCTTCCTCCTTGGATCGGTGTCGGGTAGGCCGTCCGGGATCCAGTCGCCACTCCGCGGTCCGCCGGCCGAGCTGCCCACGCCCGCCCCCGCGCCGTTCAGCCCGCCCGCCCCCGCGCCGTCGAACTCCTCGCCCCCCTCCTCCTCCACGCCCGGCCGGGACCTGAGGCGCGCAAAGGCCACCGCCAGCTCCTCCTCCGTCCAGGGGACGGGGACCTTGGGGGCGTAGCCGCGAATGACCCCGGACGCCAGCTCGTCCAGCAGGCGCCGGCGCATGCGGTACCAGCCGCGGCCGATGCCCTCCACCTGCGATGGCGGCGCAGGCCGGCAGGGGTGTGCTCGGTACCGGCCTGGGTTTGGGCAGCGCAATCACACGGCGATGCCGCGTGTGTCGAGCGTGCCACGCCTCTCTGTAGACATCGCCCGACGCGCAACACACAGCAGTCGACGCATGCGCCGCCTCTCCCTCGTCTCCCACCTCCGGCTCGACACACATACCGCCCCGCACCTGGCCGGACGCCCAGCGTCGATCCACGGCCTGCAGCCCCAGCTCGCCCGAGGTGATGAAGCAGTGAACGTCGCTGTAGGCCGCCGAGTTGAAGTCGCCGCAGACGACGGCCGGCGCGCCGCCCGCGCGGCGGCTCGCACCATGAACCGCGTGCAGCAGGTTCCGGGTCTGCGCCAGCTTCACGTCGCCGCGCTTGGGGTTGAACAGCACGTGCACATTGCTCACTATGAAGGTGAAGGGGAGGATGGCGGCGGCGGCGGCGGCGGAGGTGGCCTCGCCCCTCGACCCGGTGGGGTCGGACCCCGGCTGTCTGGGGGACGCCTGTCCGCTCCCCTCCCCGGCCGCCTGCCTCCGCCGGCGCTGCCACTGGGCCCAGGAGCGCTGCTGCTGCAGCACCTCCTCCCTCAGCGACGACGCTGGCCGGCCGGGGGAGGGAGGGGGGCTGCTGGGGACGGGGCTGCCCTCCCGCTCCCTGCCCTGCTCCTCGGCTGGCAGCAGCTCAAAGGTGGCCACCTGCGCCACGTTGTCTCGCAGCCCCGACTCCGCAAACCGGATGTTGTCCATGAAGACTGCACATGCAAATGTGGTGGCGGGGGGAGCGTGGTTGGAGGAGGGTGATGGGGATGAGGTATCCACATGCCGGGCAGGGTGCAGCAAGGCATTGAGCTCAGTCGTGCGCCATGCAGGACAAACCTCTTGCATGACCAGCCTCTGACAGGCGGACATGCCTTCGTACACCCCACACCTCCCATCTCGCCGAGAGCAACCCCAGGTCCCCCACGCAGAGGCTCACCTTGGCGCAGACGCGCCGTCCTCCAGAAAATGGCGAGTCCATCCACCCGTGCGCCTGTTCGCTTCAAGTAACGACCCTGGTACCTGGGTGGAGGGGCCAGGGTGCAAGGTTGGGAAGCTGGGTTGGCGTCTGGTGCACGCGACAGGCGACTGGAAATGGAGGCCCAGAGGCTGGAATGCCACACATCTGTGCTCTGAAGGTGGTGCTGAGACGATCACTTCCTCTCCGGGATCTCAGACGCGTAGTGTGGGCCCTGGCCCAGCACTCCTTCCCTGCCTACCCGCGAGCAGCCAGCTCGCGCTTCAGCTGGGTGAAGTGATCGACCTCCTGCAGGCAGAGCACATCTGGGGAGTGTGCCTCGATCTCCCTGAAGGGGGGAAGGTGGCGGGGTGGGGGCGGGAGGTGACAGGGGGACGCACACTCCTCTGTGGCACGGCCGCCCGTGGGCCAGACCACCATTCAAACCAGGCTCCCTGCCAGCATCTCTCCTCCTCACTTCAGGAAGGCGGCGCATCTCCTGTCCCATGCCAGTTCATGTGCGGAGGTGCCGCGATACAGGTGGGCCCCAAACTCATGCGCCAGCGACTCTGCCAGGATGTTGTAGGAGAGGATGCGCAGGCGATCCTCTGGGATGGACGCCTTCATGGGCCCCAGGACGATTTGCTGGGATTCAAAGGGAGGTGGAGGAGCTGGAGGACGTCATCACACCTCCCAGGGCCTCGACGGCTGGCTCAGCTGATTGAACCCCGAACAGCAGGGCTGACCCATCAATGCCCACCCTTGCTCGAACGTATTGCCGGAATCTGGGGCCGCGGTCTGTGATGGGCGTCCATGATGGGCTCATGGTGGACAGACTTCTGTGGAGCAGGGGGACCACACCTGATGGCAAGCGGCTGGTGCAGGCGTGCCGGGCCCCAAGCATCCAGTGCAACAGTGTCAGATGTAAAGAGTTGAGTTTCTGATTCGACCTCGAATGAGATTGTGGTGGTCGACGAGGTGAAATGAGCGGAAAGGAGTTTCAGGGAACCGGTGTGGGTGTGGGCGTTGGCTGGCAGGGAACGGGAGTGGCAATGTCCACTGTGTTATTCAGTGAATAAAGTACAATGCAATGGAAGCAAGGGCAACTGCTTGCCAGATCGTGGGTCTCACACCCCTACTTTCGCGCGCGCTGCGCCGTGCTCTTCATCATCATCTTGTGAGAGTCTCAGAGCTTGGCAGATGTCTACATCAGTTTTTGCGCCCCACTTGCTGGGTGTCCATGATACCTTGCCAACATTCTCACATGACCTCAAAAAGCTTTTTACAAACAACGTGGCTGGGGTACAGAAGGCTGCAAAAGGACGATAGACCTCTGCTCTTCCAAGAGAACAAATGCAGAGAAGTCCAGAAATGGGCTCAAGCCTGCAATCAAACATCCTGGTCATTCACCAGCAGCTCCTCTGGGACAGAGGGTGGCTGCTGCCCATGTCTCAGACTTGCTCAGCGGCTCTGATCCAGATCTCATTATGGCGGTTTTGCAGCTGCCATGACGTGGGAGGGGGAGCAAGGGGGCTGTGATGCCTTCAGCCCGAGGTCACACGCAGGTCCCGCCTGAAGCCATTACACTATGAACCCTCACATAGAACCCCTGCCCTCCCATCCGCTGCTCCCTGGGCATCCACGCCCACACTCACCCTGAAAGGAGGGTCATACCCTGCAAAGGTGTACCCATCACCCTCCACCGCGCCATGATCACGCTGGATGGCCTGCGGGCGGGATGTTGAGTGGCATGTGATAGCATGGTGAGTTCTGTTGCATGACCTCAGCTCAGGTTGATTCATCCACATCCACACCGGCTCATGAAAATCCTATGGAGTCTCCCTGCATCCATGCAAAACACCTCAGTGAGCTCGCTACCCCTGGTACCTCGAGCAGGGCAATTGCCTTCTTGGAGATGGACCAGTCATCCATGTAGTACCCCCCGAACTGGGACACATATGCCGTGAAGGCAGGAACCTGTGGGTGCAGAGGGAAGGCTGAAGCATTAGAAAAATAGGCACACATCAGAGGCCTGGCTGGTGAAACTGGACTCCCGAGCACCTGGTAGGACCTATCGTGCGAATAGTTACTACGAGAATTGACGCTGCAACTCACTTCACAAACCCCAGCTCACATGTTGAATGTAGACATCCGTGGAATTGGGTGCCGGCGGTTTTCCCTGTGTGTAAATGGTTCAAGGTGGGAATGCACAGGCTAGCTGCAATGGTTCCCAACCTGGAGGGCGAACAGTACATGAGCTCGACATCTGTATCTTGCTTTCTATAGCGGTGTGGAGTCAGTGAGTTGACCTTGATGGGTTGTAACTCCAACTCAGTCTCACTGAAACAAGAAGGTGACAAGCTATATCCTTCCCTTCAAACCACCTCAGCCTAGGTCACCTCGTAGGAGAAGGGCACAAAGAAGGACACGGTGAAATTGTTCTTGCAGAATGGTCCGGCCGCGGCCTCCACTTCCACACGAACAGGGGATGTCATGGGGATCTTGACCTCCTCCTCATTGGCCCCCCCAATGTAGGCATACAGGCGCTGTTCGGCATTGGGCAAGTGACGGCCGTGGGCAGGAGGTATGAGATGATGTGCATGGCTGGTTACTCAGCACGAAAATGCAGGGTTCCATGAATCTCCAGAGGCTTGCACCCAGGCCACAGACTATACCTTGAAGCCGACGGTCGAAGCCAGGGCAGTCGCATAGGCTTGGACATCAGTGGATGCCCAGGTTGCTGGGTGTCGGAGAGGGGTGCGCGGATTGATACTTGAGGCCAAAGCGTCTTGCGGCTGGTATCAGTGCCGCATGTCTAAGAGAGCGCCCTTGCTGCTCTCAATGCAGACATCATTCCATACAGTGACAAGCGAGACACGCCATGAATCATCTTTGACACCTACATGCTTTGTAGTGCCGGACCTGCAAGAGTGGAGAAAACACCGACGCGATCAGCATTGTGCGACGGCGGGCGAGGGATCTGTTGGCCCGAGAGCCTGTCCCAAGGGTGCATGCACCGGCACACCGGCCTGGAATCCCAGGGCAGCGCCTCACGGTGAAAATGCCCCGCAACTGTCTGTGGCCCATCACCCACCTCGTAATCCGTGGACGTGTTCACGACCGTGTACTTGGGGCAGTCGATGTCATGGCAAAACCATGGTGCGGATGTGAGGGCAGGAACGTCATCGTGCTCACGCAATGCATGCTCCATGTGGGGACGAGATGCATTGCCCAGGTGCAACAGGCATGCCAACACGAGTAGGATGGTACACAACCGGGAGTCCGCCATGGCGTGCACGCTCAGGAGCAATCTTTGCGAATGCCACCAAAAGGTTGAGACGCGTTATGCTCCACCTCTCAAGCGCTGGGTTAAGCGATCAGACTCGATCTAACAACTTTGGGACCTTTTAGTGATATACTATGACTGGAGTCGGGGTATGTCGCACCGCTTTTCCTGTGGCTCACCAGATTCTTCTGGTCCTGCTTGACGACGAAGCAGAGAGACCAGCGCGCGCGACGGGACGAGGGGATGGCCCAACGTCCACGCATGATGCAATGTCTAACTCATGTCCATGCTTACGATACCATCCCAAAGACTTGTTTGAAGCTGCAGTTTTGTGAGAGGGGATCGCTGAGCATGGTAGCACGCCAGGGCTAGTCCTCCGGCCCCAACCGGCCTCAAGCCACATAGCAGGAGGGGCGTGGAGCTTTTTCCCGATCATGGACCCACCCCTCATCCTACCGCCGAATATCGATGACGTCCCTCCCCCGGGACTGGCCTTGGTGCTAGAGCTGGACAAGCCTCTCCTCGTGCAGCTACGCGATGGCAGAAAACTATTGGGAACACTACGCTCCTTCGATCAGTATGCCAACCTCGTACTAGAAGGTCGGGGAGGTCGGATCTAACAGAATTTGGAGGGAGGCAGCCAGTATGCGTCTTGATGTGCATGAGCCTGTGCCTATGAGCAGTGAGGATTATGGCGGCAGCAGCTGTCCTACCAGAGGTACTGCCTATCTTGTCCTAATCCACCAGACCTGCAATACACTTCAGGCACAAAGGAGCGCATCGTAGTGGGGAGCCAGTATGCTGAAGTGGACATGGGCCTGCACATTGTCAGGGGGGAGAACGTCGTTCTCCTGGGCGACATCGATCCCTCCCTGGACCCTCCCCCCGGCCTCTCCCTGGTAGGCTGAAGGGCAGGCGCGCTTGGAGATAGATGTTAAATTATTGGCAGGGATAGGGTAAGACAGGAGTGGGATCAAGCAGGCTTGCCATCCTGATACTTATGCCACTGGTCCCACCCGCCACCAGGTGCCTGAGGCAGAGATTCGGAGGATACAGAAAGCTGACAAGGAGGCAGAGCGAATGAAGGGCACGTTCAGGACCCGATTCGATTTCCTCATGGAGGACTGAGATCAGGGAGCCGTTGCGACACACGTGTCCTGGTGGCAGCCACTCAAGATGCAGTCTGGGTACACATGATGACCTTGACATGGGTGGCTCATGTGCAGTCTGGTGCGACCATTCCCAGTTGGTGATTCTCCTGAACGCGGCATGCACTCGCACATCCAGGGATGCCGTGCATCATGCTGAAAGGTTTCCAGGGCGAGCAACATGCCACAAGGGGAGAAAGGATCAAGCATGCTCAATCTATCGAGTGTTGTGTCACGGTATTACCTTGTCTGCCCCTCTACAAGCGGCAGGCTTTACGGCGATTGTGGAGTTTGTCCGCTCAGTGCGGGCCGGCCCGGCTTGATGCGCTCGCCACATGCCAGTGCCAGGTCACCAGGACAACCCTTCGCTGAATTCCTGCCACTGGCGGCTCTGCTGCTCCCGCCACTCCTCATCCACACTATCGAGGACGTCGAGGATTTTCAATCTTAGGAAGCATTGCACCTGATGCGTTGCTACCTGGTGCCTGTCATGATTCTTCCGCCGTCCTACCAGGGTGATTCAGGCTGCAGGCCGCCACCCGAGCGGCTCAGTGATTGCCCTCCATAGCACGCTGTCAACACCCCTCGCACCTGATGGCCTGAGACACGGTGGCCAGGTCAACCCTAAGGGCTAGCCGCATTTTGACATCAATGTGTTCCAGCAGCAGGGCCTCCAGATCCTGAATGCCGAGCCTTGTGCGGCTAGACGGCCTGCGAGGGATTGCCGGTGTTACAGGCAAGTGACAGGTTGTGTCACGGGGAGACGGGCAGCTGCCTTGTGCAGAGTATGCAAGGGCTGTGTGGAAAAAGTCACGCATCATGCTCGACATTTGAGGGTGATGCATGGGATGGGAAAGGGAGTGACGCATGAGCCAGGCTCAGCCACACGACACGAGCACAGTCCCAAGGACGCTGGGCAAGACCCACCCAGCAGAGTCTCAAATCTGCTCCCTTGCCAAGCCAGCTGCGAGTTCCATCCCATACTGCCACTCCAAACCGCTACTACTCACGGCGAGCTATTCACGCTTTCTCCCCTCAGCAACACTTTCAGGACGAGGAGTGCGCCGGGCACCCACCCCCCCGCCTCTGCCCGGCAGGGCTTGCCCAGGGACGACCTGGTCAGGTGGGCGTCCAGCCACCAACCCCTGTCGTCCAGCGCGGCGCGGCACTCCTGCCAAGCCGCCACCGCCCGCTGGAGGGCGAGAAAGCTGGCGCCTGTGTCGGCCTGCGGGGCGCCCCCCTGTGAGTGGCCGCTGCCGGCCTCGAGATGCTGAGCGTGCGCTTCGCACAGGCCCTGCCCGACCTGCACCAGGCAGGTGGCCAAGCCCAGCCAGCCTGCAGTGGGAGGAAGGATGGAGGAGGGGCCAGGTGATGAGCAGTATGCAGCGCTCTCCGGCCGCGCCTGTCACATGCGTTCTGTTGGCCAAGCGAGTCCGGCGGTGCAAGCGCCGAGGCGTAGGGCAACGCCAACCACCTCCAAAACCGGCCGGGGCACCTCGCGTCACCAGGTCCGGCGGCGCGGCGCCCAGGTCGGGGTGCCCCACGACGTCGAGCCAGAGGCAGAGACCCTGCCCCAGGCCGACCACAGGGCCCTGCATCGTGTGCAGGGTCAGCAGCGCTGCAGCATGGGATGGATGGGGGGAGGACATTTAAAGCGATAGATCTGCAGGACAGTGGCTGGTATGTGGCAGGCATCCAGCGATGAAGAGCGGAGCACAGGGGAGGCCGGAGTGCGCTCCAGCAGATCAGCCCAGCGCTGGAATCTGCTCATCTACCTGATGTGCAATCCGGAAGTTTCTTCCACGCAGAGGTCCTCGCAGGCAGCACCCTGCACCATGTAATCCACCACCCACCCTGCCCAGGCATCACCTGAAGCTGCCTCAGCGTTCCCAGGCCAGGAGCGGAGGATCTGGACTAGGTTGCGTATGACTTCCTCTGCATCAAAGCCCTCCTCGGCTGCCTTGGTGTCGGGGGTGGGGAAGGCAAGCAGGGCTCGCAGGGCTGCAGCGTCAGCATCGGCTTCGGGAAGGCGGGAGGCGATGGACCTCGCCTCTGGACAGGGAGGAAGGGGAGGAGAGCGAGACAGGGGTGGGAAGTGGTCAAGCAGCGCAATCAAACGGAGCTTGAGCCGGAATCGGTGCCCCAGGGGAGCTTGTTGTTGTGCGATGAGCGGTCCCAGGTACAGACGATCGGTCGACGGTCAGGTCGTCCCAGGGGTCTGCTGGAACCCATGCACCCTTTCCACCTCTGCGCCATCCTCTCCTCTGCGCAAGCAATGCAACACGTGGGCGCCCTGCCTTCCCACACCATCCTCTCATGCTATCACTCACTGAACATCTGTCCCTGTGTCAAGAGAATCTCCATGAGCGGCCAGGCGGCCGCCGAACTTGCAGGGCCGCTTGTCAGGGCTGTCTGTGGATCAAGGGGCCAGACGCACGGGTTTGCATGCTTGACACTGCCAACCCATGTCAGGGCGTTGAACACCACAACTCACGCACAGACCAGCCCCCGGTACTCGATTCCCGGTCGTACCATCAGGTGCGCCTCTCCCTCCGTCGCCAGCTCCCTTGCCAGCCGTCCTGCCAGAGCCACCAGCGCAGGGTCGTTCCTCACAGGGTCCCACTCTTCCCGGGTCCTGGTGGACACACCGCGTCCCCTGCTCCATGCATCCGCCATCGCCTGGGAGATCGGGGTGGCGGGGGAGGTAGATGGTGGAGAACACATCGCAGGTACCCCAGGAGGCTGCGGCCTGCAGACTTTCAAGGCACGCATGCTGCTCCCCCAGGGTGACAGGTCTAGTACAGACCACCACCTCCCGCTGACCCCTCCAAATGACACTCACCCCAGTCCACTGCTGATGGCGGATGCGACCGCACAGGCTCGCAACCTCCTGCCTGGCACTGTCCCTCTCCAGCAGGCGATCCCCACTGGTGAGGAGGTCGTAGGCCTCTGCTGCGCCGCCCTGTCACAGGAGGCATGGCGTGGTGTGGGTAGCCGTGGTTGCAGAGGTCGGGAAAACGGGGTTTCCAAGCCACACACGCCTACAACAAGACCTTCTTGCCCTCACATGCTCGAGGAGAAGCCGGGCCAGTCTCAAGAATACCCTGGCCCGATCGTCCTTCGCCGGGTGGTAGCTCTGGGCGCGCCGCAGGAAGCGCTTGCGCTGATCCAGTGTGGCGTGCTCCTGGCCCGAGCTCAACAGATTATACCCTGGACGGACGCGAGGGTAAGGGGACAAGATGATGCCAACGTGATATGTGGAGAAGGTCTCAGCCTAAGCGGGACTGCAAGGAGGATATAATCCTCTGCTTTGGGGTAAGCAATCCCCTGGATTTGTGCTCTTGAGGGGGGAGCTGGGTCACGTGCCTAGTCAGCTGAGGAGGTCGAGAATAGGCCCTCCACATACGTCCCAACACCCTCTCCCTCTGCCCACCCGCATCCAGGGCTTCTGCATATCGGGCATGGAGTGCTGGATGTGCAAACTGCCATTTCTTGTCCATGCTCTCATGGTACTGCAAGCAGGGAGCAAGGGAATGGGCGGTGCACAGGGGGCCCGCAGTAGGTGATGGTATACTTGGGAGCACTGCACCCCTAATTCTGAAATGTGATCGAGGGTGTCCAATCAGGAGGTCACTGTGCAGGGAACCAGTTTGCATGTCACAAAGGTTCTGAAACTTCCATGTCATACAGGGCAGCATTCCGCCCACCTCGGAGGTCAGTACTGTGGCCAAGAAGGACGCCACGGTGTCCTTGCTGCACCCACTTTCGGACAGGGCCCGGGACAAGCCTGACACGACTGCAGCATGATACTTTCGTTCCTGCAAAGCATTTTATTCTTGCTGCTGGGAAGGAGCGAGGAGCATGGGGGATGCATGCAGTCACCATGCTATCAGTCGGACCAAACTCGCCCTGGTAGTGTCCATGAAGCCATGGTGGGCGAATTTATGCGCCTTCTCCAGGGCAGTCCTAGATTTAGATGCATGGGTATAGGATTGGGACGCGGTGAAGGATCAGAAAACAAGGAACAGTGCTTGTATGTCAGTGGCTTTTGCAGATGCGCTGAGATCAGGGCAACTGACGACCGCAAGCAGCTCGAACCGAACCCTCTTCGATGCAAAAGCGCCAATTCTCACCCAGTCGACTCGAGTTCCCGATCGCTCTCTTCTCCATGAAAATCTTCGACGTCCGAAGGCTGCGACATGGCTGACTCTCCTGTTCAATGCTTGCCGTCTGCCGGGTGTGTGTCCTCTGGAGGTAACCTGATGGTCTCATCCCTCTGCGACATCACCCTCAGTCGGTCTAAGCATCTCAATCAGACACGATTTGCGAAACAGATTCATCGAAACCTGGTCGCTCTGCATCGCAAAGTGTCTGGGTACCTGAGTTTTCTGGGCTGGCCCCCACAACGGTGGACCGCTGTATATGACCTGAAGTAGGAATGTTACAGACAAGACCCCACATGCAGTGTGTTGTTCGGGTTTCATAGGCGTCGCAAGGAGGCGTGGACTCGGTGCGGAGCGGGAACAGGTGGAAAGTGGGCAAAGGGCCCGGTCAAGGGGAACCCCCACAACACC